TCTCGTGTTTTCCCCTACACTTCTTTCGTGCTCTACCGCTTCCTGCGTGCTTTACAACAGAACAGAGTACAGTCGAGGCTTCTTTATTTGTTAAATGTTTGCAGAGTGACATCCTGACATAATGACATATAGCAACATGGCAGCATGAACATAACTACATAAGGAAAAAAGATGCTCTTTTCCTAGTGTCTTTATGTCGATGTTCACGTTACCTGCGATTGTATCGTTATGTCATTATGTCGCCAGTGTGAACCAGGCCTAACTCCCGGGCATGGACGATCAGCCGCGTTTCTGTCAGGGCTTTTAAGATCTTTAGATTGGTTTCTGGGTTAACGAGTGTTCATAGACCCATGGCTGGATGTCGAGTGTTCTTTCTTTTAAATAGACTGCCTTGCAACGGCTGTGCGCCCTATCTGCCCAGAAGAAGCAGGCTTCCCATCGACCACCCTCGAAGCTCCAGAATCTGCAATGGCCGTGATAGAAACGCTTTTTTACAGGATGGGCGGTTTGTTTTAAGCCCCCCCCCCCCCTTTTTTTCTCATAATTATTCTTTTTATTTAAGCATATTTGTTATTGTTTTGCGCCAAGCCCCCCTTCTGACACATCTCACCCATTCTGGCAGAAGAAATGTTGAGGTCTAATATAATCGTGTCTTACTGTGGCACTTTCTTTGATCACATCTCCATGAAAGTCCAGAAATTCAGTAATATTATGTACATAATTTTTTTTTTACGTTGCTCCAGCAGGTTTGACAAAACTTCGAACTTAAGCATGTACGTAGCTCTTTTTTAATTAAATGGTGCTTGTTTACTTACTTGTTTGTTTGTTTTTTGTTTGTTTGTTCAGTTTGTTTGTTTGCTTAGTTTGCTTTGACGTTGTTCATTCATTTCATGAAATAAACAGTGATTTATTCTAGGCTGTGACGACATGAAATTCAAAGCAAGGTCTACCATAAAAAGTAATGGCTCAAAGGATATTTTTCTGTTGGCATGGCTGGAGCGCAAGCTCAATTTTTATCCGAGGGTTCTTTGATGATCGATTTGAATCTCATGTCTCGGGGGAGGGGGTTAGCATGTATTTTAGAGTGGGCTCCTGACCAGATCTCACATGAGCCCAGTACAAAATTAAATAGCATCTTATTCAGTGTTGTGTGGCGTTCATATGGTACGTACCGAAAATAAACAATCTTTCAAGATTGTTCACTTCGGACTCGCCTCTTGTTTGCAAAAAAATAATTTCTGGATGTAAAGAGTAGTCACAGCAACACGTTTACAGAAAAGTTATGCGACAAGGTACTCACCGATTTTGTTGCAAACATGTAGTTGTCGATGACCTCAAAGTCGTATACCCCGCTAATAAGTGTAGAAACGACGTGGGAAAAGTAGTCGGTTTTCACCACATTAGAACGGCCACCTGGAATACGAAAGAAATGTCCAGGATCAGAAATAAAAGTGTTGTTAAAATCGGTTCCTAGGCTTCAGGGGTCAAAACAAAAGACATCACGTCGATGTTAAAGAGCTCAGTCATGGGATTTTGAGTTTCATATACTGGCCACGTACAAAATTACTCTTAAATTGAAGGAGACCTGAAAATAGTAGTTTACTAAGATAGAAAAACACCAAGAGAGTATGATCTGTGAAAAACACTTAAAAGATAATAATAAACCATGAATAAGGGTGGAGTAGATTAGCACGGATTACAAACGACGAACTTGAAAATTTTAGGATAACCATTTCAAGATGGGCAAACTATGACGAAACTCTTTTAAGGGCAGAATAATTCCGCAGGTTCCGCGGCTCTGTGGCTACAGTTTCCCCGGATTAGTCTTAGCCATAAATAAGCACCAAATCTAACACGAATAGTTCTCAAGCTTTTAGGAAATGAAAGCACGCTAGTTAAATATGAAAACCTCTAAACATTCTTCGCCATAACCTACGACATCCGAAACTGATCTCTTATTGACCGAACTGACCCTTATAGGCATAGCAAGTGTACCTGAGACTTCCTCGCTGACCTCGATGTACAGTGTGTTGACATTGTCCAGTGGTGGAGTACCCCTATAATGAGAAACCATACATTGATATGATTGACGCGCGCTCAGAACAATGTTATTAGTAATGGAAAAACCACCAAGTGGAGTTCAGTAATTAATAGTAATTGACGGAGTGGAGTAAAATCCTGGGAATAAATGCGCGAGTAATTTCAAAATCGGATGAGTGCGTAGGTTGAGGCCTATTTTAAATTACTAGCGCGATTACTTTCTTAATGCATCCATTCAATTTTATTATCACTGGTGATCCTTGTAATCTGGTTGGCTCTCAGTAGTGTGATTTATTTACGATCGCACTACTTCCTTGCTTTAAGTCGATTTTTTCCCTTGCCGATGAGAATAGAATACTAAACGAATAAACCAATCAGATTTCAAGACTTGTTTAAAGTAACCGATCAAATTGCAAGAGAGCTGGAGAGGTTTATTTACGAAGTGCACTATATTTTTGCTCGAAATCGCATCTTTTTTCTATTTTGTACCCAAAATACAATGTAAAATTGTTTCAGGTTCCTCGAAATCCTTTCACACTTACCAGAAAAATGATCTAACCCTGTCATGTTTTAAGTGCCAGCGGATTCCAAAATTGCTGGAATAGTAAAGCTGCGACAGGAAAAAAGGAAACTTTTATTTAGTTCTTAAAGTTAAGTTCACCCACATATTTCTGGATGTTTCTGGATTGTATTTCACACATCTATCTTCAAAAAGAAAATTATGTTAAATACCCCGCGCACACTTCCTTTGGTTACAATATTTCCCTCATACAACTGAATATATGAAAGATCATATATTTGAACTGCGGAGAAAGATATGAAGACACGATTGATCATCGCAGTTACCTACACAACTGAAGCAGCTGTGCAATTAAAACCTGAAGAAAAAAAAATCAGGCTTGAAGGGGATTCGAACAAATGACCTCGCATGCGATACCGGTGCAGTCCTCTACCAACTAAGCTATCAAGCCAACGGGGAGCTGGTCACTTTGTGAGTTTGTAATATGATGGTGAAGAATACAAGTGAACATATAAAAGATCATATATTTGATGATCCGGTATCGCAGAGGTCATGGCTTCGAGTCCCGTTCAGGCCTGATTTATTTATTTATTTATTTATTTATTTATTTATTTATCCATTTATTTATTTACTTTTTTATTTATTTTTTTTTCAGGCTTTAATTTCACAACTGCTTAAGACGAAATTCGATAGCAAATCCAGCAATTTCACGTTTTAGTAGACAAAAATATGGTACCAGAATAATTTTAAGTATTTTACAGTCATTTTTACATTTTCTTAAAGCTAAATACATAAATAATTGTCTGAAATAACACCGAAAACAATTTCCCATGGGAACGAGAGAAAAAGAAATTTCAAAGTTCATAGAACTTGTGCAAACGCAGGCAAAATGTCATCATCAGCTTCATTTCACCAGTACTTTCAAATATTTAATACGAAGTTCAACATTCGTTTTCGACATTTGTTATTGCTAGAAATGATCTTTTTTTTTAGGAAAACAGTCGTACAGAAGTTTGCAATGCGATGTAAGTAATCCTGGTACTAGGTTTTTGTCCACTTGTTACTCGAAATTCTGGTGGATTCCGTCTTAAGGTGTGTGTATCGTAGAGGTCATAGGTTCGAATCTCGTCCAGGCCACACAACTGCTTAACTTGTGTGTTTAACTGCGATGAAAATCATTTCTTCATAAATATTTCCCTCATCAGCATGATCGATTCAGTTTCCGATTAATCAACCTACAAAAAATATGAGTTCTGAATATTACAAGGGCGTAGTCCAATGTGACAGGAATTTGGCTGAAACTTCGAAAGCTCTGACAACGAGGCTGATGATATGTTAACTAAACTTTACCTTTTCTGTTGTCTCATCGTAAGCGAGAACAACTTCACTGTTACTCGGATGGAAGGAGATTTCATCTGGTATAAATGTTACATATACATATGCAAACGATAAGCAGTCATCAGTTGAACGATAAATGATTTTGCTGTGTTTGTCAACAAAGAGATACTGAAAGTAAAATGAAAACAAAACGCAATTAAAACGCAATTGAAACATTAAAGTGACTATGCTAGTTTTAAGAAGATGATCGCTGTATCATATCGAGTAAGTCAACTTCCATAACCTTGTCAGAGTGACATGTTCACTAACCTTCGTGTTATTTACTGGAGAAGCATAAAACATGTCAATCACTGCAAATCGCCGACCATGCATAAATGAGTTGGTGCGATTCTCAAAGGTATGACCATAATCTCTTGAAATCCACACGTGGCTGTTACTGTTTAAGCCTGGATTTCTGTCTCGTGTCAACACCACAATAGTGTCCCTGCCGTCTGCTGCCCAGTGTACATAGGCCATTTGGTGACTGTCATTCAGCTGAAACTGCAAAAGAGAATTAGTCTTACGTGTTTTAAAATAAAATTAAGATTATTTTTTTGGAATTCTTTAGTCGGGATTACATGTATAATGATGACAAATATCGCAATGTGTGTTTATTGAGCTGATACTTGTACCAGACTGAAAACTGGGCCACATACCAGGGAACTTGCAATAAATGCACCTTAAGGACCTTAAAAGTCCAAACGTGAGAGCTCTGATTCTATGCGGCGTCTCATTACCCGAGGAGGTGGGCCAAGCAAGCTTGCATTTTACCCTATACTACAGCGACCTGTCTCTGAGCTGGTGGGGATTTGGCAAGGACTTTGTGGACTCGGGTTTTCACTAC